CAGCAAAAAAAATGAATAATAAAATATCATATAGATACTTAGACACATCCACATTATAACTCAAAACGTTTGCGTTCTCTCTTTTCTCAAATATACATTTTTCTCTCGTTGGAACAATTATAACCTTTTCCATATATATATATATATATATATATATATATATATATATATATATATATATATATATTTGAGTTTCGTTGAAAAGGACTGACAAGGTGTGTTGGTTGAGTTGTTTTTTTTATATAATTTCTCATGTGTTCGTATATATTTTTTTTCTTTTCAGCACAGAATTTATATAAAAATTGTCAAAATGTTTTCAAAGCGCTTTCGGCTATACTTTTAACCCTTATCAAGGGTGAATTTCATTTTACTTTTAACTGAATATATATATTGTTTTATGCATGTATCTAGAGTTACATGAATGTTTTATTTTCCAAACATGGTCAGCACATTTTGACCGTATTCATATTATTGAGTGTTGCCATTTTCTTTATTAATAATGCTTCCATTATTTTTAACCTTTTTGTACATTTACATGAGGCTATTATATTTGCATTATCAACGACTATGTTATGGATAGAGTTTGATAAGTCTCCATGCGTATTTAAATGAGACCTAATTGAGCTATAGTCAGAGAGATGCAATGTCAGTTTTCTTGTTAGGCATGTTAGGCATATAATTATTTACAAATTTGGATTGGTCAGGAACACAGCTCCTTAAGGGACATGTAAATTCATAAATAATATTGTTTCTCTGTCATTTGGATCTTGCAGGTGAATTATTAGTTTTGACGATGACGTTAGCGGTTTTAAATTTTATAATAAATAATTTGCTGACTTTTTCTTTCTGGGGTAACCAATAGCAATACTAAACACACAGAAAAAATAACTTTTCTACAAAAATCAAAACGTCCTGCGTAAGACGATAAACTACATCCGCGTCCTGGGTAAGACGATAAACTAGTTCCGCGTCCTGGGTAAGACGATAAACTACATCCGTGTTCGGGATATGACAATAAACTACATCCGCGTCCTGGGTATGACGATAAACTACATCCGCGTCCTGGGTAAGACGATAAACTACATCCGCGTCCTGGGTAAGACGATAAACTACACCCGCGTACTGGGTATGACGATAAACTACATCCGCGTCCTGGGTAAGACGATAAACTACATCCGCGTCATGAGTAAGACGATAAACTACATCCGTGTCCGGGATATGGCAATAAACTACATCCACTTCCTGGGTAGGACGATAAACTACATCCGCGTCCTGGGTATGACGATAAACTACTTCCAACAGCAAGGCCTCTGATCGTGAGGTTTTGAGGAGCGTAGAACCACCTCTTAATGGCTTGAACTTGGTATGGAATCTGATGTTTCTTTCATATCCTTTCATGCAAATTGGGGTCAAAACACTATGAAAGTGTCAAAATAGGTTTTAATATCAGAAGTACTTTGAAAAAAAAGTATTAGTAGCAATACATTTTTGAAAAAAAATATTACCAGCAATAAAAATCTTGTCGGCATTAAATAACCCATTGATGTTGATATGCCGTAAAACAAACCAAACCAAACCAATATATACTGAGATAGATAGATAGATAAGAAATCTTACCAGCAACAAAAATCTTTTGGGCATTAAATAACCCATTGAGGTTGATATACCGTAAAACAAACCAAACCAATATATACTGAGATAGATAGATAGATAGATACAAAAAATATTAACAGCAACAAAAATCTTGTCGTCATTAAATAACCCATTGAGGTTGATATACCGTAAAACAAACCAAACCAATGTATACTGAAATAGATAGATAGATAGATAGATAGATACAAAAAATGTTACCAGCAATAAAAATCTTGTCGGCATTAAATAAGCCATTGACGTTGATATGCCGTAAAACAAATCAAACTAAACCAATATACATTGAGATAGATAGATAGATAGATAGATAGATAGATAGATAGATAGATAGATAGATAGATATTACCAGCAATAAAAATCTTGTCGGCATTAAATAACCCATTGAGGTTGATATACCGTAAAACAAACCAAACCAACCAAACCAACCAAAAATCAAATGAATATTAACATTTATTAATCATTTCATTTTATTCTCTTTTCGAAGAAACAGAAACATCGTATTGTTACCGGGGTGATTATCTCCCATTATTATCATCAGATTATACATTGAACTGTAAATGAATCAGTCTTCAATTTTGGAGCACTTTAAAGGTACTTCTTGATGCAAAACCTTTGCTTTGTTCCGGTAATAAAAGAAAAGGAAAAATATATGAACGTAAGCAGAATCATATTTTAGGTTCTACTACTGATTTGCTAAAAATAAGCATGTCATGAAGAAAAAAAATGTCCTTAACTTAATAAAAACAAAGTTTTATCGTCAAAATGTTTATATTATTATTAAAAGGAAAGACCAAAGGATTTTCTGATTATTAAATTATATTTTATGATCCTTTTTAGAACATTCTAAATTTTGGTTAAAAATCTTGTTTTTCTTTGCGTCAGCAGAGGAGGGAGAAAAATTAGTATGGGAAATTTTAGCGTTTTTTTGCGGTGAAAATCACATTGATTTGGAAATTCTTGCAAAATCAAGTCAGATTTAATGAACCGTTCAGGGCTTATTCACAAATGAATTAAATTATTTTAGAAATGTTTCTTTTTTTAGAAAATCTTGGTACAAATATTTTTTTTTACATCTGTTATTCCCCACTTATTTAATTTTATGAAATTTAGAGAAATTAATGTTTGTGCTGCTTAATGTTTATATTAGTTATACGCAGCAGTCCTTGGAGAATTTAAATCAACAATTTTCTTTTGTAAAACAGGACCCCAATTACCGAAAATTTTCTATGAAATCGTAAAATAAAAACAGCAATAAAACTATAACATTATTTAATTAGAAAAGATTTTAATTGCTTTTAGGAATAAGAGTTATTATAGACACAATTGTTTCAAGAAAGATTTTATTTTGATGAATAATGTATTTTCACAAGAATTGTTTTAATTTTTAATACAATTTAATTATAATAATTTGTAAATTTTTTAGTTTTAAATTTCTGTATTAATTTGTACCGGTTAGATGAAACTATATTTACTAATCATAAATGGAAAACCTTACCACAATTCATCGACCCCCAATATTTTAAAAATAATTTTGAATTTTTTTTTTTTGTGTATAAACGTACCGATTTTTGTAAATACGGACGTCCATACACGACATTATCCGAAAATAAGAACGGTACTTATCGTAAATCTAATGTCAAAATAACTAAAATTCAATAAAGCATTAAAATACGAAGAATATTTTCCTGAATTTCCAAGACTACTGAGTAGTTAAATATTATATAAAAAAAGTAACTCATGTTAAATTTCTCATGTATTTCTTTATATTTACAGATATGTTCACCGTAGAAAAAACATGAGATAAGAGGCAAAGAGTGAGAGAGATAGAAACTCCGAGAGAAACAAATAAAGAGCAAGTGAAATAAAGAGAGAGAGAGAGAGAGAGAGAGAGAGAGAGAGAGAGAGGGAGGGGCGTAGATTTAGTGTTGCTGTTAATCTGGGAGAAGGAAAAGAGCAAGTGAAATAGAAAGAGAGAGAGAGAGAGAGAGAGGGGGAGGAAGCGACAACGAGAGAGAAAGAGGCAAAGAGCGAGATAGAGAGAAAGGGGCAACGAGCGAGAGAGATAGAAACTCCGAGAGAAATCTTATCTTACCTGTCAGTGAACATATGTAAACATCTGCCACCATGTTAATAAAATGCATTCCTGCGATATATTAAACATAAAGTAAGTAATATTTCTTTCAAATCAGGTTAATTAAACTTTAAATCAGTTAATATTCCTAAACTAAACTTTCAGAAAAGTACGTTTTATTTTTGAAAGATTTTTTTTTAATAAAGAGAATTACATTGAAATGAAGGGTGATTAAAATGGCACTAAAATAATCGATTTTAGCAATTTCAAAAGAAAAACTTCTTTTCAATCAATTTCAATTCGAAATACTGCAAAGTATATTGCTTATTGGAAATATTAAATTTAATCTATTAGCTTGAAATGAAAACTAAAATAAAAGCTTCAAGAGAGAATATTTATTTAAAAAAATTCATTTTAAAGTTTAGGAATAAAAAGAAACAGGGTGAGAGATTAAAAACCTAAGTACTTGTTAGTAAACTGTAGGTTAGTCATATTACAATTGGCAGCTCCAAAGTGACTAACGAGTAGGTAAACAATAATTTGGAACGTATAGTAAATATGAAAGCAAGGCTTAATTACTTTGGGTAGCGAAAGGAAACAACCCCCTCCTCTGTCTAAGCCAGGTTTAAGGTTAAGATAAGGGAGAGCTCTCACCATAAACCCGCGCAGTTACCAATTTCGAACGTTACAGATAACACATATGAGTGGCCAGGAGATAACGGAGAAGTACCCGGAGTTATTGTTGTTGTTGCTGCTGTTCTGGGAGAGAAAGGGAAAAAAAAGAAAAAGAAAAAAGAGCAAGTATGCGTGAAAAAGAGGGTGGGAAAAGAGAGAGAGAGAGGGAGAGAGAGAGAGGGAGGGAGAGAGAGGGAGGGAGAGGGCGCAGATTTATTGTTTCTGCTAATCTGAGAGAAGGAAAAGAGCAAGTGAAATAGAAAGAGAGAGAGAGAAAGAGCGAGAGAGAGAGGAAGCGACAATGAGAGAGAAAGAGGCAAAAAGCGAGAGAGAGAGAGAAAGAGGCAAAGAGCGAGAGAGATAGAAACTCCGAGAGAAACAAATAAATAGCAAGTGAAATAAAGAGAGAGAGAGAGAGGAGGGAGGGGGCAGATTTATTGTTGCTGTTAATCTGGGAGAAGGAAAAAACAAGTGAAATAGAAAGAGAGAGAGAGGGGAGGAGAGGGCGCAGATTTATTGTTTCTGTTAATCTGAGAGAAGGAAAAGAGCAAGTGAAATAGAAAGAGAGAGGGGAGGGGGAGAGGGCGCAGATTTATTGTTTCTGTTAATCTGAGAGAAGGAAAAGAGCAAGTGAAATAGAAAGAGAGAGAGAGGGGGAGGGAGAGGGCGCAGATTTATTGTTTCTGTTAATCTGAGAGAAGGAAAAGAGCAAGTGAAATAGAAAGAGAGAGAGAAAGAGAGAGAGAGGGAAGGACAATAAGAGAGAAAGTGGCAAAAGCGAGAGAGAGAGAAAGAGGCAAAGAGCGAGAGAGATAGAAACTCCGAGAGAAACAAATAAATAGCAAGTGAAATAAAGAGAGAGAGAGAGAGAGGGAGGGAGGGGGCGCAGATTTATTGTTGCTGTTAATCTGGGAGAAGGAAAAGAGCAAGTGAAATAGAAAGAGAGAGAGAGAGAGAGAGAGAGAGAGAGAGAGAGGAAGCAACAATGAGAGAGAAAGAGGCAAAGGGCGAGAGAGAGAAAAACTCCAAGAGCGAGAGATAGAGAAATAGAGAGAAACAAAAAGAGAGCAAGTGAAATAAAGAGAGAGAGAGAGAGAGGGGAGGGAGGGGCGCAGATTTATTGTTGCTGTTAATCTGGGAGAAGAAAAGAGCAAGAGAAATAGAGAGAGAGAGAGAGAGAGAGAGAGAGAGAGAAGAACACTTCTTGATGAGAGAAAAAGAGGCAAAATGAGAGAGAGAAACTCCTAGAGAAACAAATAAAGAGTTTTCAAAAAGAGAGAGAGAGAGAAAAAGAGAGAGAGAGAGAGAAGATGAGAGAGAGGGGTAAAAAAAAAACCCCAAAATAACGATGTTCATAGAGAGAGAGAGAGAGAGAGAGAGAGAGAGAGAGAGAGAGAGAAAAGAGAGAGAGGAAGAACTGAGGAAAGGAAAATAAACGATTTGGTTCAATAGAGAGAGAGAGAGAGAGAGAGGCGGAGGGGAAGAGAGCTGAGAGGGAGAGATAGAGAGATATAGAGAGAGTGAATTGAAGAGAAATATCGTGACTGAGCGGGTACAGGAAAAGAAAAGAGACGGTAATTTCATTATCACTTCTTGAGATTTTAGAAAAAATGAGATTTAAAATAAAAAAAAAGGCCATTTTATCAGAAATTGACCAAATTCTTTAAGTTTTTTCAAAACATAGTTTTGACATTTTAAGATTTGAACATTGAAAATGAACTGCATGTCAACCTGGTACTTGAACGTACAATACACAAACCCCCGTAACAGACATTTCTGTGGGAGAAGAGGATTTTACGCCGCGCCATATGCATAAAACGAAAATTGTCCAGACTTCACTCTTTGGTAATTTTATTTTTAATTTCTCTCAGGGAAAAGGAGAACAATTATTTGGTTTAACATTTGATAAACAAAAACGACGTAAAACTGAAGCTTACATTTAAAATATTTCATTCAAAGAGGATATTTCAAAAAACGTCGAAATAGCCATAGATGACATATATTTCATGAGTAAAGAATGGTAATAGTAATAATAATAATGAACATGTTGATGATACTACTACTACTAATAATACCAAAAGACTTAAGTGTAATAAAAAATGTAATGTAATCTATCTATCTATCTATCTATCTATCTATCTATTACTGTTTCTTAATATCTATATATTTAAGTCTGATCTTATCTATCTATCTATCTATCTATCTATCTATCTATCTATCTATCTATCTATTATCTCTTTCTCACTTTCTCTATATCTATCTATTTTACTATTATTTATCTATCTATCTATCTCCTCTCCTCTCACTTTCTCCCCATATCAGTCTGTTCATTATTTTTTCTATCTCTATCACAATCTGTCCATTATCTCTTTCTTTCTCCATCTCTCTGTCACTTTCTTTTTCTCTTTCTCTGTATCTATCTTAGTCTGTTCATAGCTAATATGTTATCTATCTATCTATCTATCTATTTTTAAAAAAATCAATTCACCCGAAACAAGGCGATAATGCCACTAAAACGCAAGAGGTTAGTGGGAGTAAAAGAGAATGAGAAGGCTTTAGAAGGAACTGGAAATCCAGCCCTAAACACGCAACGAGGGATAAACCTATACTCCTCGGGGAGGTATATGGACCGGACGATATGCGAACCTATTTCCTTATATGTCAGTCTGATTGATCTATCTATCTATCTATCTATCTATCTATCTATCTATCTATCTATGTGCAAGTATCTATAAACAGCCTAAGCAATGGAAACTTTATTCAAGGCGAGCTGATATTCCAATATTCAGAGCAATAATAATAATTCAATATTATGCTCTCAAATAGCAATGAAAGGAAACAAAGACGTCTGTAGTTTTAAATTTCTTGAATTGATTTTGATATCGAGCCACTGATAATGTGCTAAGAGCATACGCACGCGGACCAACACGCATGCGCCTGACGAGCTTGTCACACACAAGCATAGATACATACATATATATATATATATATATATATATATACGAGATATATATATATACGATATATATATATATATATATATATATATATATATATATATATATATATGTGTGTGTGTGTGTGTGTGTATGCATACGAGAGCTGTTATATATATATATATATATATATATATATATATATATATATATAACGTTCTCGTTCATACACTTTCAGCGACACACTAGTGTTTGATGGTACTTATAATACCTGAGATTTATCCGACTGCAAGAACAACTCAGTAAATCCTTTTTAATGCGACTTTTTAGATTGCTTGGTGAGCGAGATAGTTGCTTGCCAGCAACTTGTGTGTACACTCATTTGAAAACCTGCATTTTGAAGGTCGATTTAATTATTGTACTTAACAGGTCCCGAGTAATCTTGCTTAGTAAATATCAATGTATTCTTAGGTTTTGAAGTCCATATAACACCAATGAAATAAATGATAGTATATATATATATATATATATATATATATATATATATATATATATATATAAAAACATAAATATATAGAACTTTCATTACATTGTCACGCTCCCTCCCAGAAACTGTAACTAAGGTCTGCTCAGCATAATTGCAGTATAAACCACAGATTGACTCTGTGGTCGTTGAGTAAACACAAATGTGCCTGAGCACATATATATATTTGTGTGTGTGTGACAAAAATATAGTTTTAAGGTATGTAAGCGTATAGTAGTGGATATTGGGATCACACCAAAAATATCATGTAAAATAAAGAAAACAGCATCAGCCTACAACAATAGATCCAAAATCAAACTCTTGGAGGAAAATAAACAATCAGCAACTCATGTCAAAATAAACAATCAGAACATGTCAAAAACAAAGAAAACAAATTTTTACTACATTACTTAAACTCGAAAACTAAATACGAACACAAATTTAGAATAAATAAAGTCAAATAAAATAAAAAATAAAAAGGTAATTATATTAATCCAAATCAATAAATAAGTAAATATGTTAAGTAAATAATGAAAAAATTAACAAACTACGAATGTATGCATAACGCACTAGTAAATGTAATAAGAACAATCAATAAAAATGCAATCAGTAATAATGTTAACAAACAACACTATGAAATAGCAACAAAACTGCATTCGGATCCATAATTATTTCCGCGCAATAGCCCTGGAAAAATTCGAAACATAACCGTTACCGCCGAGCTTTACATAACATAACTGCTAGAATAATATATATATATATATATATATATATATATATATTTATATATATATATATATATATATATATATATATATATATGTATGTAATCATGGTTACAGTTGAATCAATTTACTAGACGAGGGTTGTCTCGGTGTCTATATTTTAATGTATCAGTTATTGCTACGTTTTGGTAGTGGGTAGGGATGTATTTTTCAATGAAATCTAACATCCGTTAAAAGCGTGTCGTCTGGATTTAAAAAAAAATTTTTATTGTTAACGGCTAAAATACTTACGGCATTTTTTTCCTCGTATATTTAAAGATTTTTGGGGGTGTTTAGGTAAGAATATATTTTATTTTAGCTGTGTATTTAAAACCCAGTAATTTTAAAAGTTACTCCAAAATTCGCTTGAGGATGAAATGGAACTAATCTCTTTAATTTAATCACAAAATTAAATTCGGGGCTTTTAGCTTCATTTTTTGAAACATGGTTAGAACTGTGTAAAAAAAAAAACATATTTTAAATCAATTAATTTATAATATTAATGCTCTGTAAATTTACATTGAGCACTATTTTGTAAAAATAAAAAATATCTATAAGAACACTGGATTATATATCTCTTATTCTTTCTTTATATATATATATATATATATATATATATATATATATATATATATATATATATATATTATTGAAAATAATATTTACGAATATTTCTGTACGGATTAGATATTGAACACTTCTTAAAATCTGCCTTGTGACCCTCGCTATCTTTACCAACATTTATTTTTTTTTCTAACCTACAATTATACACGTTACAAATCAAATTAACCTAAGCACAGCTGACTGTTAAAAAATGAAAAACTTTCGTGGATTTTGACGTCAGTTTTTTTTTTCGTCCAAATCAGTGAATTTGTTTTGCCAGTGCTAAGTTTCGAAAAAACACTACATAAAATTCACTACTTTTTATCCATAATGTCGAATGTGTTAAAATTCTACAACTTTTTAACAAGAAAATTCTCAAGTTAATGCTAAAATTTGCCGCAAAAAAAAGTATTTAATTATTTAAGATGGAATGATCTCTTATGACATGTCTCTAATTCGTATTTAGAGACATTGTATTTATTTACAATTTTTCTAGCTGAATTGTTCACCTATATTGCATATGATCCATTATTGTACATAATTAGGTTACAATAAAAGAGTAGGGGTCGTGTATCATGGATTGGAGAGGCCCGTATCACAGATTAGGGTTGCCACGAAACCCTGGCACCGGTCCTGTATAAACAATATAGTTTTAATGTATGGGTTAAAGTGCTCAATATAAGGGACAGGGCGTATAGAAATATAATTGTGGACACTGAGGTCAACACCCAGCGGCGACAGATTATGATTAAGCATGAAACAGACTCTCGGCATTGTGGGTTGATTACAGTGTCCACTGTGTTTGTGTATGTATATATATATATATATATATATAGAGAGAGAGAGAGAGAGAATTAATTAGGAGGATATGAAATAATCATAAGTAATTCATCGAGTCTAGAACAAACCTCAACAGAATGCAGAAAGCACTAGACGGCCGTTTCGTCTTATATTTGGGACATATCAGCAGTGCACATCCACTACTGAGAACTGAAACCTGAACATTTACGATAGGAGGCAAACACCATACCAACTGTACCAATGGGCCTCGGTGACGAAGAGGTAATGAATTAGACTCGATATAGCGCCGCTCGATCACAAATTCCGTGGTGGAACTTCTCCGAGTTTCTCTTTTATCCACAGGACTGTGCCTCCCCGAGCTACGGCTACTAACCCCAAGTCTCTCCATTCTGAGCATTAGAAGCCGGTTCAAGCAAGGATATATACAGAGAGAAATAATTAGAAGGATTTGAAATAACCATAATTAAGTAATTCATCGAGTCTAGAAGAAACCTCAACAGAATGCAGAAAACACTGGACGGGACCCATCAACAGTGCGCATATATATATATATATATATATATATATATATATATATATATATATATACATATTAGATTAAGAACAGACCAAGTAAAATTCCGCTGTTCGTAGCATTTACTTTTAAAAATGTGCTCAATACAATGTAGACCAATATATTATTATTATTATTATTATTATTATTATTTTTTATTATAAAAGATTATAACAAAAACATGTTGAATTCGCCACACGAAAGATTTCGTGTTTCGTCACTATTTTGTACCCGTTCAGCCAATGATGAATAGCTGGTCATTAAATGATTTTTTGTTTTAGAAAATTTCAAAAGCAAAGTATTCCGCCTTTTTCGAAAGATAAAGAAGGGTGGGAAAACACAAGGTCAGAATTGAAAATAGACTTGTGGGTTTGTTTTGATCAACTAATTAAAAGTCAGATCTC